AGGCGTCAAGAGGCGTTCAAGATCGGGGGCGCCCCGCGGGTCCTGGGGCCGTCGGCGGCCCGCCGTCCGCTTTGTCGCCCGCCCGCGACGTGTTTTCCTCGCCCCCCTTCCCCCCCTCCTGCCCTTCTAGGGCCCCGAACGGGGGTCAGGCCGTTTTCAGCTTTCGCAAGGATCGGTCTCTGCTCACCTGGAGCCGCTGGTTTCAACCTTTAGTTCTCCTGTTTCATTTGTGCTCCGCCGTTGCAGTCGGCCGCCCCATATTTGTTCGGTGTGCAGCCTCTCCTCTCCCCTTCCCCCCTCGACAGCTGTTTGGCTCTTGGAGTTTCGCCTCGCACGATCTCTCGAGCTGCACCTCCCGTGCCATCCTTCTGACCGAGTGATGGCGCCCACGTTCTCGAAGCCCGCGCCGATGCCGTGGCCTGCGGTGACGCATGCCGACTCGCCCAGTCACGATGCGGCGCCCCTCCGCGAGGCGCTGGCGGCGAAGGCTAAGGCGAAGTCCGAGGCGCGCGCGAAGGCCAGCGGTTTGACCGCGGCCGACGCGCCCACTCCCAAAGCGGGGCCTGCGCCGCGCCCTGGCCAGCAGGTGAGCGCGTCGGAGAGTAGCGACATCTCGGACGCGGAGTTCGACGTGATGTCGGAGGCGGCGACCTTTCGGACGGCGCCGACACTGCCTACGGAGTCGGCGACGCCTGCTGAGGGTGCCGACGGAGGCAGCGGTACGGGGGCCGCCCCCAGTGCTGCTGCCTCTGACGGTGCCTCTGACGGTGCCCCCACGGCGACGGCCAAGGCGCTCGCTGAGCCCTCGGCGATGCCCCCGTCGGCGGTGGTGCCAGTGACGAAGGCGGCCCTGGCGGCGGCGGCCACCTACTCCAACTTCACCGTGGAGCAGCGCCGCGGGTTGGACGCGATCACCCTCGCGCTCCACAACCTCCAGCTGCGGGGGCAGTCTGTGAGCGGCCACGGCGGGCGAGGCGCGCGCAGCGACGCCGACGGCTGCCGCCGCAGGGGCGATGAGACCGCCAGTGAGGCCCCGAGTGCGGCCTCAGCGGGCACGGCGGCAAACGCCACCGCCGTCGCAGCAACAAGGCCGCCCACGGCAAAGCCCCCTCGCCGAGCGGCGGCGCGGCCGCTGAGCTCGAGGACGCTGAGATGAGGGCGGACGTGGACTACCTCGCGGCGGGCTACGTACACTGCATGGGTGCGTACTGGCTCCCGCCGCAGCGCCTGGGCTGGTGTCGTGAGTGCGCGGAGCTGGATGACTGGAAGGTCATGATGGTGGAGTGCGTGGACGAGCTCAAACGCGGCGCAATGCGCCGCTACGTCGCAGCTTCAGAGCACAACCCGCAGTGCCCCAAGCTGCGGAAGGGTGATCAAGGCCAATGCAAGCTGTACACGTGCTCGCGCTGCGTGGCGGCGGCGCAGGGCATCCCCGAGCACGAGGCTGTGACGCGCGCGGCGCGCCAGAACAAGGGGGCTGGCTCCATTGGCCACGCCGCCAAGCGCGTGGCGAAGTTCCGCGCGAGCATCGACCGCATCAAGGAGGGCGTGGACGTGCTCGTGGGTTACGCGCTTTCCAATGACGGCTTGCTAGCCCTGCGGAGGGCGACGGAAGGCGTCGGGGTGGGCATCGCTCCCGAGGGCGTGGGCGCCCCTCCGGCCACGGAGACGGTGGCGCAGGAGGTCGGTCGCCCGATGGCGGTGGAGGTGGTGCCGGGGCCGCCCCGCGCGCCGCCTCCACCCCTCGAGGACGGACCTGGCGCCGCAGACCCTCCCCGCGGCGATGATGGCGACCCCCTACTCGACAACGACGCAGAAAACCAGGAACACCAGCTGGTCGACGCCAAGACTGTGGAGGAGGTCGCGGATGTCGAGCCCCTGCTGCGGCTCGGCCTCTCCAAGAAATCGTTGAAGCGTATGGCGCGGGCCTGCGGTGTCCTCAAATTCGAGACCATGCGCGCCCGCGTGCTGGGAGGCATGGGGCCCATCCTGGAGAAGAAGGAGGACATGATGAAGGGTGCGGCGGCGCAGGGCGGAGTTCAGAAGTGGCTCGACGCGCTGGGCGCGGAGGCAGAGGCTGATGTGGTAGGGCTGAAGAAGGGCCTCCTGGAGGCCTCGGAGGTCGTGGGCGCGCACCTGGGACACAAGCGTGCGTGGAAGGAGGAGTGCCAGGGCAACGCCATGGCGCAGGAGGCCCACCGACGGATGGGCGACTACACGGACCAGCTCTACCGTGGCAAGGGTTTTTCGTTCAACATGTACTACAAGTGCTCGGCCAACAAGACCTGGGACAATCCCAAGGGATGCTGCTCGGTGATCCGCTCGGATCGCTGGGCGCAACTGCTCGCGCTCGCGCAGAAGGCGGCGGGGGAACCTGGTCAGCGCTGGTACTGCCATTGTGGCGCACGCTACGCGACCTCTTACGGCGTCTGCATCGAGATGATAGAGGAAGAGCTGAGCCCGCCCCGCGCGTACTACATGCACGCGGACTTCCCCCAGGAGGACATCCGCGACTTGAAGGCCCTGCTGCGTTGCGACAAGCTCAAGAAGGAGGGGGTAGCGGTGCTCAGCGATGTGGGTCTCCTGAAGCACCTGCCCAAGGTCGAACCGCTGGCGGTGGGCACCCTCCGGGAGGGCAGCCTCGCGGGCGGCGGGGGTGGTGCCGGGGTCGCCCCGCGTGCCACTCCCGTCCGCGCCGCCAGTGCCCCCCCCGCTGGCTCGGCGCGCGGCAGCCAGGACCCGCCACCGCCGCCTGCTGGAGCCCCGCAGGCGGCCATCATGGCCCCGCCGCCGCCGCCGCTGACGGCGCCCCCTGCGGCGCCGCCGCCGCCGGCTGGCCCGCTCCCGCAGCAGATCCCCAATGTCGCCGCCGTGAACGTGGCCCTCGGTGAGGAGCTCGAGCGCCAGATCTTTGGGCCCCCAGGGCAGGCTGGCGGTAGTGGTGACCTCGGGGGAGAGGTGCAGGCGCTGCCGTCGCAGGTCTTCGCAGCCATTGCGCAAGGAGCAGGCCAGTCCGCCTGAGCGCTGGGACTCTGCAGGCCCCCAGCATCGTTTACTTCTAAGCCCTCGGGGGGGCTGCGTGAGCTCCTGTGTTAAGATCCCGAGCCTGCCATTCTCGATGATGCTGAGCCTGTATGCTCGCTTGCGCTCCAGCTTTAGCAGCGCCGCCGTGCCAGCTTGCGAGGGTGCGCCCACAGTGGTGCCCCCCCTCGCGCCGCAGGCGCTGTTGCTTAGTTCTTCGCCCTTCGCACGGTCAACTGTGCGCCTAGCCATTTTGGCTTGCCATCCTGGCCTCTTCTCGCGCTTACTTGCGCTCGTCGGCCTCGCTGGCGGTGCTGGGGTCGCCCCGTGTGCTGCTGTGCCGCAGCTGTGCGCCTAGCCATTTTGGCTTGCCACCCTGGCCTCTTCTCGCGCCTACTTGCGCTCGTTGGCCTCGATGGCGGTGCTGGGGTCGCCCCGTGTGCTGCTGTGCCGCCGCTGTCGCTTTACTCTGGGCCGTAGGGGCCAGCTGCCCTCGGATAAGCGCCCGCCGCTGCATGCACGTCAGACCCGCCATTTCACCCAGAAGAGGTGCTCGCTACATACTGGAAATGAGGCAGCCACAAGGACGCTCATCCCAAGGCGGTTGAGCCGTGGTGATGTGGTGCACGAGACCGAGTAGTAGTAGTAGTAGTAGTAGTAGTAGTAGTAGTAGTAGTAGTAGTAGTAGTAGTAGTAGTAGTAGTAGTAGTAGTAGTAGTAGTAGTAGTAGTAGTAGTAGTAGTAGTAGTAGTAGTAGTAGTAGTAGTAGTAGTAGTAGTAGTAGTAGTAGTAGTAGTTAGTAGTAGTAGTAGTAGTAGTAGTAGTAGTAGTAGTAGTAGTAGTAGTAGTAGTAGTAGTAGTAGTAGTAGTAGTAGTAGTAGTAGTAGTAGTAGTAGTAGTAGTAGTAGTAGTAGTAGTAGTAGTAGTAGTAGTAGTAGTAGTAGTAGTAGTAGTAGTAGTAGTAGTAGTAGTAGTAGTAGTAGTAGTAGTAGTAGTAGTAGTCGTAGTAGTTAGTAGTAGTAAGTTAGTAGGTAGTAGGTAGGTAGGTAGTAGGTAGTAGGTAGTAGTAGGTAGTAGTAGTAGTAGTAGTAGTAGTAGTAGTCTTCGTAGTAGTAGTAGTAGTAGTAGTAGTAGTAGTAGTAGTAGTAGTTCGTAGTAGTAGTAAGTTAGTATATGTAGTAGTAGTAAGTAGTAGTCTAGTAGTAGTAGTAGTAGTAGTAGTAGTAGTAGTAGTAGTAGTAGTAGTAGTAGTAGTAGTAGTAGTAAGTAGTAGTAGTAGTCGTAGTAGTAGTAGTAGTAGTAGAGTAGATAGTAGTAGTCGTAGTAAGTATGTAGTAGTATAGTAGTTAGTAGTAGTAGTAGTAGTAGTAGTAGTAGTAGTAGTAGTAAGTAGTAGTAGTAGTAGTTGTAGTAGTAGTAGTAGTAGTATAGTCGTAGTAGTAGTAGTAGTTAGTAGTAGTAGTAGTAGTAGTAGTAGTAGTAGTAGTAGTAGTAGTAGTAAGTAGTAGTAATTAGTAGTCGTAGTATCGGTAGTAGCTAGTAGTAGTGGTAGTAGTAGTTAGTAGTAGTAGTAGTAGTAGTAGTAGTAGTAGTAGTAGTAGTAGTAGTAGTAGTAGTAGTAGTAGTAGTAGTAGTAGTAGTAGTAGTAGTAGTAGTAGTAGTAGTAGTAGTAGTAGTAGTAGTAGTAGTCGTATAGTAGTAGTAGTAGTAGTAGTAGTAGTAGTAGTAGTAGTAGTAGTAGTAGTAGTAGTAGTAGTAGTAGTAGTAGTAGTAGTAGTAGTAGTAGTAGTAGTAGTAGTAGTAGTAGTAGTAGTAGTAGTAGTAGTAGTAGTAGTAGTAGTAGTAGTAGTAGTAGTAGTAGTAGTAGTAGTAGTAGTAGTAGTAGTAGTAGTAGTAGTAGTAGTAGTAGTAGTAGTAGTAGTAGTAGTAGTAGTCACGCGCCTGCCCTGGTAGCGCGCGCGCCTCCCCCTTCTGGAGAGGCACCGGGCCTGGCAGGCCTTCCGCGGCCCGGCGGAGCACTCGCCCGAGAGCGCGTCGCTGTGCCAGGACAGCCTCCGCCGAGCGGGGCCCTTTGGCGGCCCCTCGGCGGTCCCGGCGGCCCTTCGGCGACCTTCGGTGGCCCGTCGGAGGCTCTTCGGAGGCTCTACGGCGGCGGCGGCGGCGTCTTCTACGGCGGCGGTGAGATTTCGCGGTGCGGTTCGCAGCGTGGTTCGCGTCGGGCGGGTGCGTCGGGTGACTGGGGCGTGACTGAGTTTCTTATCAGTTTGAAACATATCCTTATCCCTACTATCCCTATGTTTGACATCACCTCACCTCGATGCCGATCTTAAGGATTCCCTCAGTTTCTGAGGGCCTATCAGATTGTCTTCGCTTTTTGCTCGCCCATCTCAGGGATAGGGATAAGTTCGAGGCTGGTTAGTTTCTCCTAGAGCTGTCGGAGACACTGCCAGCAGTGGGGGTCGACGCGGACGCCGCCGCCGCCGGCGAAGCCTCTGCAGGTTAGCTCGGTATTCTCCGCCAGTCGCAGGAATCGCGAGCGCCGCTCGCTGCTGGCGCTTGCCCGCCGGAGCGTCGGGTCGGCGGCGAAGTCCCAACCCTGCCCTCGCCGATCAACTGTTCAGGCGCCTCGATGGGCGGCCTGGGCAGGGTTCGGAGTTCGTCGAGCACGTGGCGAAATCCGACGCCTACCCCCGCCTCCCATCGATCCAGGAGAGTCGATGGCTGGTAGGGGTAGGGTTCGGATGTCGCCACCTGTCGGGGGGGGGGGGGGTGCACCGAAAGGGGTGTGGGCGTCGGTCGAGGAAGCGCGACGCCGGACCAAGGCGCGTAGATTAGCGACGGGATCCGCTGCGCTCCGCCGTCAGAGAGGAGGCACTGGCTTCGTTTTTCGGGGCGCGCCAGAGCCACGGATGCGTGGTCCGTGCCAGCGCGTACCCGAGCGGGTGCTCTTCGTGCGCGACCCCCCTGGCGCCCCCCGAAGAGCCTCACGCTCCGAGGGCCCTCCCGCCGCGTGCCTCCTCTCCCCCTCTGCTGTGCCGCTCGTCCCTTCGGTCGTTCCCTCTTCTGTCCACGCCGTGATCTGCTTGTTTGCGCCCCTCCTTCCCCCCCGCGTTGTTAATTCAGGCTTCGCGCGGCCCGCCTGGCTTCCACTGGAAGAGCTGCGCTCTCGACCCGCGAATCAAAAATTGTTGGCGCCCCTCCGTCGCCCGAACCGCTGCTTGGGTCCAGGTGGCCGCCGCCAAGAAGGGGTGCCCGAGAGCGGGGCCGCCCCGGCGGGAGGCGTCGGCCGCGGGGAGCTGCCGGAGGGCCGGAGGGGGGGCTGGCACCCAGAGAGGGGCACCGTGGCTGGGGCTGCCGTGGCCGGCGCCTGTGCGGAGCCCGCCGGTCTCCTCTCTGGACTCTGGATCCCCTGTGCACGCTCTCAGGGAAACGCAAGACCCGAGTAAGCTGGAGCTCGGGTTTGCCGACTTTTTTTGACGAGCGCGTTCTGGATTTTGGCGGTCCAGTTTTCGTGGGATGTTTGCAGCGTGAGGTCGCGTCAAATTTCAGATTGGGTCTCGTCATTTTCATGATGGCCCCGTCAGGCCAACCCTAGTCCCCATTACCCGAGTCTTACGTGTCCCCGACACTCGCCGATCGAACTTTTCCGGTCCGCGGCCCCGTGCAGGTCCCGACCCTCCCCGGAGGACAAGTTTTGCACTGCGGCCTGGTCCCATCTTCAAGGCTACCGGGGCCCGAGGGCGGTCCGTCTCAGCTCGTGATCCCCTGGCTCGAAGACGAAGAAACGACACAAACAACAAAATTCGGGGCTCCGCGCGAACTTCTTGGATCTGCGCTGGGACCCCCTGGCGGCGCCTCTGGCGCCGCCCCTCGCGCGCTCCGCGCGCCATGGAGGGGGGTTCCAGCGCAGACCCAAGAAGTACGCGCGGAGCCCCGAAAGTTTCTGTTTGTGCCGTTTGTTTCTGCTCCTCCACTGGCCCTCGCCGATCCGGTATTTCGCCTCCGCGGCCCCGTGGGGGAGGTCCCGACCCCTTCCCCGGGCGGGGGGGTGGGGGCAACTTTCAGGAGGGGAAGAATCAGACACAACTCATCGTCGATCTCCCAGAGAGTAGGGGAACACAGGGGAAGTGGGGTGGAGGGCCAGAAGCCCAGAAAACATAGGAAAATGTTGGGAATCCTGTTGTATTTGTCGGAAACTGGAACATATACGTTACCAGTGGCGGGCTGTTTTTCAATCCCAGGATTTCTTGAGGGTCGAGGACGACGCTGGGGTGGTGTGGTGTATATTTTTTTCACCGATGTCCCGGGGAAACAACGAAACGTGGGTACACCAGGGACCCATATGCACCAGGATCCGCTTCCAATGCATGGCCGGAAGAAGCGTCGGTGTATAGAGTTCGATTCTCCAAGTTGCGTCTATCTATTTGTAGGTTCGTCAGACTTTGGGCTCTAATTTAATTTAGTCTATGCTCTTCAGACTTTTCTTGTCTATCTATTTAATTTGTCCTTCGTTTGGGCCCCCTCAGACTTTGCGTCCCGGGGGTCCGTTTTTGGGAGAGGTCCTCCCCCCGGGGACCGGCGGCGGCCCAGGCGCGTGCCCCCGGGGTGCACTGGTCAGGGGCGCTCTCTTCTGCAGGGGGCCCAGGGACACACGAATGAATGGGCACTAGTCCCAGGATCCCCGATGTTTTCCAACATTTTCTGGGTTTTCGTGTTCCCCCCCCCCGACTTCTCAGAAGGGGCCCAGGGGCACACTAATGAGCAGACACAAGTCCCAGGATTCCCCATGTTTTCCAACATTTTCTGGGTTTTCGTCTCCCCCCCCCCCGACTTCCATCAGCTTCCAATATTTTCCCACATTTTCCCAGGGGTCGGCGATGAATCGTGTCGGTGTTTTGTTTCTCTCTCCTGATTGTTCTTCGGCAGCTGGAACATGTACAGTGCCAGTGGCTTGCTGTTTCAATCCCAGGACTTTTGAGGGTCGGGGATGACGTCGGGGTGATGTGGTGTATGCTTTGTTGATCCGTTTCCCAGGGGAGCAACGGAACATGTACGCACCGGGATCTCGTACACACCAGGATCTTTTTTCCTCGTGCAAATTGCAGTGCAGGGCCGGAAGAACGCGTCGGTGTATATGTAGAGTTGGGTTCCCTATATTTGTCAGGGGTGTTCTTCTTCTTCTTCTTCCTCTTCTTCTTCTTCTTCTTCTTTCACAGGCACTGCCTTCGTTTCAAGCCCCAGCGATGGGGTGAGTGGCCATTCGAGCCGCCCAGCTGGGCTCGCTCAGGGGTGTTCTTCTTCTTCTTCCTCCTCTTCCTCCTCCTCTTCTTCTTCTTGCACAGGCGCTGCCTTATTTTCAAGCCCCAGCGATGGGGCGAGTGGCCCTTCGAGCCGCCCGGCCGGGCTCGCTCGCCCTCCTGCCCCACGGCCCGACGGCGGCCCGGCTGCGGCCGGAGCGAGGGACACGCCGCCGCGGCAGGAGGTCCGGTGGGGGGGGGCTGCGCGGAGCGTGGGCGCCGTCGGCGGCGTCGGAGCGCTGCGCTGCGCGGCCGTGCCGGCGAGCGCTGCGCTGCCGCCGGCGCACGGGCGAGTGCGAGGAGGCCGGGTGCACGTCGGGGCTCGAGCTGAGCGGTGTCGACGGGCCTGTGTGCCACCACTACCACCTCCAGTTTGAGGGGGGAGGGCGTCCTCGACTTCCCCTCCTCCTCCTCCTCCTCCTCCTCCTCCTCCTCCTCCTCTTCTTCCTCCTCATCCTCCGCCTCCTCCTCCTCCTCCTCCTCCTCCTCCTCCTCCTTCTCTCGGGGGAGCGTAAGACCCGGGTTTGCCAGGACTCGGGTTCGCCATCGTTTTTTGACGACCGCGCCTCGGATTTTGACGAGGAGGAGTTTCGTGGGATGTCTGCAGCGGGAGACCTCGTCAAAATGCAGGCTCGGCCTCGTCATTTTTTTGACGACCTCGTCGGGGATTTCCGAGTCCCCTGTACCCAGGTCTTACGTCCCCCTGATTCTCCCCCTCCTCCTCCTCCTCCTCCTCCTCTTCCGCCTCCTCCCCCTCCTCCTTCCTCCTCCTCCTCCTCCTCCTCCTCCTCCTCCTCCTCCTCCTCCTCTCACTCCTCCTCCTCCTCCTCCTCCTCTCACTCCTCCTCCTCCTCCTCCTCCTCCTCTTCCTCCTCCTCCGCCTCCTTCCCCCCTCCAACTCAATTATGGTGGTGGTGGTGGTGGTGGTGGAAAACAGGCCCGCAAGGTGTTCTGGCGAGTCCGTGGGCCGCTCTCGCTCCGACCTCCGTTCGCGGCAGAGGCAGGAGGAAGACGGAGCGACGGGAAGCGGACACGGAGCGAGAACGACGAGCACTGCTCAGCTCGAGCCTTCAGCCGGGCACGTCCCTCTACAGCAGGAAAATGCAAGAACAGTCTAAAACTAGTCCGGGGACGATCTTTCGACCATTCGTGACAGTTTTTTGCATATCTTCCAAAATCCGCCCGCAGGGGGACATGCCCGACCTAAGCTTAGCTCGAGCCCTGGTGCACATCGCGGCCGGCCTGGGTTCGGCGTCACCCCGACATGCTGATACTACATGTGCGTCGCCCCCTCAGGGGCGACGCGCGCACCGAGAAGTCTTGCAGTATGTGCGTCGTGGCGGGCGCTTTCTGGCCACACCGCTCGGGAAGCGATATGCTACAAGATAGGTGTTCTATCCATATGTTCGGGTCGGACGCGCGCCTCCGGGGCGGACGCATAGTACGAGTGTGTCCCTGTGCGTCCCATGGGTTCGAGCTGGCGGCGCCCGGGCGCCGGCCGAGGCACTCGGCCGGCCTCCGCCGTGCGTCTGGGGGCTGCCGTGGGTCGGCGCTCTGTGGGGGCCGTGAGGGTATCGTCGCTCCAGGGGCTCCTGGGTCTCTCGTCGCTCCCTCGCGCTGCGCGGTGACTTCCCGAAGCCGTTGGAGGAGCTGCTGCGTTCCGGGTGCTGCAGGTTTCCAAGGGCGCCCTCGAGGGCGCGAAGTTATTCGCGCTTCGCGCCTCGCGGTTCGGCTCCGATTCCTCCGCATTTTCCTCTTCTCCCCTGGGAGGCGGCGCGAGAGCGCGAAGTTATTCGCACTTCGCGCTTCGCGCAGCGCGCAGCGCGAAGTGGGGAGCCTTTGGTTTCCCCTCAGGTGCACCTCGCGCACGGGTTCTCGGGGTTGGGCTTCTTGCGGCCGCGCCCGCACTGTAATAGTACTATCTAGTCCACACGTCAGCTCCGTGAGCTATGGGTCGACGCTCGCGGGGCGATGCTCTGGAGTTTGTGCGACGCAAATCCGACGCCGTTCCGACGTGGTCCGACGTGAACCCGACGTACATCCGACGTGGATCCGACGTAAATCGGGTCTACAGTTGCCTCGCAAGTCCTCCAGGATTTTTTCCTCACAAGGTGCGGTGGCCACGCGGTGTGCTGAGTCCGTGTGGATTCGGGGGTGGCCGCGCGGCTCTGGGGCATTCGGGCCGTGCTCCGATCGGACGAGCCTCGGGTGGCTGGGGGCCTCCGTGCACGCCAGAGATCACTGGCCGCTGCCGTGGGCTGGGCTTCGACGTGCTTGGCCCGGTTGGACTCCGCCGTGGAGGGGACGGATCATGAGGAGTAGGATTAAATCGGGCCTGTTCCCTTACAGAGGGATTTTCGTCGAAAAGTAAACATACCCTAAAACTAATCCAAACACAGTCCAAACATTGCCTGGTGATTATTTCTTGACTATTTTGGGATCTTTTTTTTTTTTTGTTCGTCGAAGATCCTCCTGAAGGGGGACAGACCCGACATAAGAGGAGGGCGAGGGGGAGGATGGGGGGGGGACGAGGAGGGAGGAGCTTCTTCGTCGTTCTCGCCCTGTGGGCCTACTGCAGAAAAAATGGAGTCAGGAGGAGAGAGCACGGTCGGGATGCGTAGGGCGAGAAGGTGAAACATGAAGCGGAGGAGGAGGAGGAGGAGGAGGAGGAGGAGGAGGAGGAGGAGGAGGAGGAGGAGGTTGAGGAGAGGAGGAGGAGGAGGAGGAGGAGGAGGAGGAGGAGGAGGTTGAGGAGGAGGAGGAGGAGGAGGAGGTTGAGGAGGAGGTTGAGGAGGAGGAGGAGGAGGAGTAGGAGGAGGAACAATCCGCATGTCTATGCCTCAGTGCCGTTCTCTGTTCTCTGGGACGGCCTCCCGAGAGGGCGAGCACAGCTGCAGGCGGCGCGTCGCAGGGCGCGACGCGCGAAGTTCGACGACGCAGGAGAAGGACGCGCCCGAGTTTGCACGCTCGTGAGCGGCGCAGCAGGGGCGGGGTCGGCTGCGCGGACATTCGCGCGCAAGCGGCCCGCGTACGGCGGCGCGCAGGCGCCCTCGTTTCCAGTGCAAGCGCCCTCGTTTCCCGTGGAAGCGCCCTCGTTTCCCGCGGAAGCGCACTGGTTTCCAGTGCAAGCGCCATCGCTTCCAGTGCAGAGTGCCTGCGTGAGCGCCCTCGTTTCCCGTGTCAGCGCCCTCGTTTCCCATGTAAGCGCCCTCGTTGCCAGTGTGAGCGCATCAGCTGCCTGCGTGAGCGCCCTCGTTTCCCGTGCCGCGTGCCGGGCTGTCGGCCTGCGCGAGCTCCCGCGTGCCATCGCTTAAGCCATCGTGGGCAGGACCCGGGGGCGGTGTCGTCTGGAGGGCCACGCTGGGGCGGAGACGCGTCGGTGGACCGTTGCGAGCACGTCCGTCCTCCAACTTCTCCAACTCCTCCAACTCCTCCTCCTCCTCCTCCTCCTCCTCCACCTCCTCCTCCTTCAACTTCTCCTCCTCCTCCTCCTCGACCTCCTCCTCCTCCTCCTCCTCCTCCTCCTCCTCCTCCTCCTCCTCCTCCTCCTCCTCCCCGCGTCGCCCACGTGCGTGCGCGCGCGCGGCCAGCAGGCGCCCCCCCCCCGACTCGAGAGCAAGCCGCGGCCCAGGCCGCGGGGGAGAGGCCGCGCGGGCTGTGCCGGGCGCTGTCGGAGCAGATCGACGCCGTGGCGAGGCGCCCGCGGCGCGCCCGTGCGACGGGGTCAAGTCGGGCCTGTCCCTCTACAGGAGGAGTATTTCAAAGACAATAAAAAAACAGCCAAGGGATGAGGACCTTTGAACATTAGTTTGACTCATTTGCTACTTCTCGCCCACAAAACCCCCCTGTGGCCCTGTGGGGGACATGCCCGACCTAAGCGGCGGGGGCGGGGGCGGCCGCCGCCGCCGCCGTCGTCCCCGGATCTCCGTCGACGTGTGTCTGTCAGGCCGGGCAGGCCTCCTCGGCTGCTTGGCCTCGGGGGCCGTTGCCGGGCCGCGGGGCGCCGTCAGGCGTAGCACAGAGACCTGGGACGCAGGCCTCCCCCCCGCGGAAGGGGGGGGACGTCTGGGCTGCCACGGAGCCGCGGAGTCGAAGAGATCGTGTCTCGGAGGATGTCTTGGGCCGCCGCCGTCGCCGCCGTGCTCGCCGCCGCCGTCCGCGTCGGAGGTGCTCAGGACTTCTCGCGGGCTCTGGGGGTCCTCTTGCCCTGGGGTGCCTGCCGGCAGCCGCGCCTCGCCGAGAGCGCCGGGGGAGTGCCCAGATCGTCCCCGTGAGGTCGCCGCAGGCCCGAGCTGTGGCCCGAGGGGCGGCGCCCTCGGTCGCCGTCGCTGCCACCGCCGTCGCTGCCGCCGTCGTGCAGTGGAGAGCCGTGCAAAGAAGCACCCTGCTTGCCTCCAGGGTGCCCATGGGCTTCTTTCTTTCTCTCTCTCTTTTTTTTTTTTTTTTTTTTTTTCTCTCTCTCTCTCTCTCTTTTTCGTTCTCTCTCTCTCTCTCTCTCTGCTTGTCTGTCGATCACGTTTGGCTGTCTCCCCGTTGCCTGCCTGCCCGTTTGTCTTCGCCGCGCGATTTCGGGTTTGGTCTGAGTCCACAGGGCGACCCGCAGAGATCCTTGTTCTGGGTCGGCGGTCGCTGTCGATGGCTTTGCAATGGAGAGCGTGCCGTTCCCACAGCAAACGTCGATGGACGTCCTGGGGTCTCAGGGTTGGGTTTCTTGTGGAAGGTTTCTTGTGGACTGGCCTCCACTGTAGACGCGGGTTGCCGCCGCCAGCTGCCGCGGCGTCCCTGTGCCGCCGTCGCCGTGTCGCTGCCGCCGCCGGTTGCCGCGGGGCACCGGCCTCCTGGCCTCTTCCTGCGCGAGTCAGGGGGAGGTGGTAGTGGTGGAGGAGGGGGAGGAGGGAGACGGATGATGATGATGATGATGATGATGATGATGATGATGATGATGATGATGATGATGATGATGATGATGATGATGATGATGATGATGATGATGATGATGATGATGATGATGATGATGATGCGTGACGGATGACGGATGGCGATGACCATCGCGATCACAATGGGGATGGCGATGGTGATGGCGATGCTGCTGCTGCTGCTGGCTGCTGCTGCTGCTGCTGCTGATGATGATGATGATGATGATGATGATGGTGATGAAGGTGATGGTGATGGTGATGGTGATGGTGATTGTGATGGTGGTTATGATGATGCTAATGAGGATGATGATGCTGATGATGATGACGATGATGATAATGAAGCTGATAATGATGATGCTGCTGCTGATGCTGATGATGACGATGACCATGGAGCTGATGATTGTGATGGTGATGGTGATGGTGGTGGTGGTGATGATGCTGATGATGACGACGATGATGATGATGATGATGATGATGATGATGATGATGATGATGATGATGATGATGATGATGATGATGATGATGTGACGGTGGTGATGGCGACGCCGACGACGGCGACTACGACTTCGATGACGCCGATGTCGATGATGGTAAGGATGCTGGTGATTATGATGAGGATGAGGATGAGGATGAGGATGAGGATGAGGATCATGATGCTGCCCATGGTGATGCTGATGATGCTGATGATGAGGAGGAGTATGAGGATCAGGATGAGGATGAGGATGTGGATGATGATGATGCTGATGATGATGATGATGATGATGATGATGCTAATGATGATGATGATGATGATGATGATGATGATGATGATGATGATGATGATGATGATGATGACGATGGTGGTGATGATGATGATGATTATTATGATGACGATGATGCTACTGCTGCTGCTGATGATGATGACGATGATGATGCTGATGATGACGATGATGTTGCTGCTGCTGATGATGATGATGATGATGCTGATGATTCTGAGGACGATTATGCTACTGCTGCTGCTGTTGATGATGATGGTGATGATGCTGCTGATGATGATGGTGCTGATGACGATGATGCTGCTGCTGATGCTGATGATGATGAAGGTGATGAGGGTGATGGTGATGATGAGATGACGATGATGATGATGCCGCTGCGGCCACATCTGACGCACACTCCGATCGGATCCGATTTCCCGATTCGGTTCTGACTGATCCCGCCCTGGGGGGGCTCTAGGGACGGGGGAGCACCCCCGCCATCGCGGCCCCCCGCTGCGCTGTCGGAAGGCCGCGGTCGTTCAAGCTTGAAGCTGTCACGTCATGGACCCGACTTACCATTCCTCCTCCTCCTCCTCCTCGTCCTCCTCCGCATCCGAGGCTCCTCCTCCTGGCCCGTCTCGGCCTCGGCCTCGATGCTGACTATGATTCGCAGGTCACCCGAGAGGCCACTCATCGCCTGGTCGTGCTCAGTTTTCATGTCTACCATAAGCTCAATGCAGCGCATGAGGCCTCTGAGGCTCCTGCGTGCCGCGAAGCTGGCCATCCACGCCAGTCGGCAACGTAACAAAGTCCTCACGAGTTACGTGCGCTCCTCCTCTTCCTACTCCTCCTTGTCCTCCTCCTCCTCCGCCTCTTCCACCTCCTCGTCCTCCTCCTCCTCCTCTTCCTCGTCCTCCTCCTTCTCCTCCTCCTCCTCCTCCTCCCACCTCCTAGTTTCGCCTTCGGCCAACAGCTTTGTTGAGCTGTCTCCTTTGTGTGTTTCGGCCGCGAGCTCGCTCCCACTGGCCCTCTCGGTCAGTGGGGCGTCCTCGCTCTCCGGCCGTCGAAGGTCGCTGCGGAGAGATTGTCGCTGCACTGAGGGCTTATCGTGGCCGACTGTTTTCGTCGAGCCCTGGACGACGGCTTATCATGGTTGAATGCTTTGCCAAAACTGTTTATCATGGTCGACGACGACGCCGCCGACGACGACGAGGACGACGACGCGACAACGACGACGAACACGACGACGACGGACGCGACGACGACTACGGTGGAAACCAGCTGCTCTGGCAGCCCTGCGGTCGTTCCGCATTCGCTCTCCCCCTCCCAGACCTCCGACGTCGTGATTGCTAAGGCCTTGTGGCCGGTGCCTTCGATCCTGGACGACGACCTCCACGATGGAAGGGGCACTCGGGAAGGTCGGGATCAGAGGCTGCCAAGAGTGCCCAATAGGCTTCACGAGGCCCCCAAGAGGTGCCCAACAATCCCCACAAGGTTTTGTGGGTGTCTTGGAAGCCTCCCCTGGACCCCCCCCTGACCCTCCCCGGGCCCCCCCCCACCCAGCTGGGGACGGGATCCTAGGGAAGGGGCTTCCCTTCGACTCAACTACGACGTTGCTCAATGTCGCTTTGGCTGTTTTGATTTGGCTGGCGCGCTTAAGGAGGAGGGCCCATATTCTTCTTGCAGTCTCTTTGGGAGCGCTCTCGGGAGCCTCTGGTGGAAGTCAGCTGCTCTGGCAGCACCTATGGTTGATCCGCATTCACTATCCTCCTCCCTAGAATTAAGTCGGGCACGTCCCTCTACGGGAGGAGCATAGAGTATACAAAAACAGTCAAAATATAGTTCTGGGACGATCTTGTTGGCTATTCTATTACTGCTTTGGGGCATGTTTGGCTACGTTTTTTTGTATTCAAAGTCTGCCCGTAGGAGGACACGCCCGACCTAACCCCAGAACTCGGACTCCGTTTTTTTGTTGTCCGTTTTTTTTTTGGGGGGGGGGGGTCCGTTTTTTTTCCGCAGCGTGGTCCCCCGGCGGCCTGGTCCCTTGTCCCAGGGGTCTGTCTCGCATCCCAGGCCGTCTTCTGCCGGCCCCGGAGCCCAGGGATGGCCGCCAGGAGCCGAAAACAGCCCGGCCCCCACCCTCCTTTGTTTTTTCCTTTTCCAAAAGGGTTTCAGACACTCGCACGCACACATATATTTATGTATGTATATAAATACACACATAAAATTCGGTGTATATATAGACATATCTATATTTATACATATATATACATATAAGTACAGCACACAGGAACACACACACACACATCTATATACATTTATATACACACACTTGACTATATATACATCTA